ACTACTAGAGTTTAGTCTAACATTCACCGAGACTAATTAATAGTCTAGCTATTATTACTATTATGTAAGCGTTAAACAATACTCTTCACCCATTATGTACACACAGGGGCCAGACATGGAACACCAGAGGGCAGGATCATTTTGGCATATAGCACTTCTGAAATCCAGCAACCCAAGCAGCCCTCCAAACCAGATTCCCTGTACCACGAGTGGTTAAAAAGATATTATAACGACACTTATATAACTCATAAAAATAGCCCGAATAATTATTTTAAGGTCCTAATAACGTTACTATAATTAAATAAAAACTATATTAAAAATTAAGTAGGCGTAGCTCACTTACAACAAGGTTTTCTCGAAAACCAGGATTCGCTTGGAGCAGCGTTTCCGAGCCGAAAGACTCTTTTTCTCGGGGATTCGGGAGCCTCGGGACTTCCTTCGGGTGCTAGGGGGTTTACCTAGGCTTGGGGGGGGGGGGGGGGGGGGGGTTAGTGGGTAGTGAGAGAAAGTAGAAGGGTTTTGTGTGCTTTAGTCGGCTGCCCTCGCAACCCTTTTATAGGGCGAGACCTCGGACTACGCTGGGCGTAAGGCTTGGTTCGTACGACGTGTGGCAACAATCTGTTGGGTCATCGTGGACACTTCGGAACCGCAGGAGGATCGAGTCCGCGCAGCGTATGGGCTTCGGTACGCGGGGCGTACTACTTTACGTTAGGCGTCGGATGGCTACGCTAGGCGTAGCCTCACACCAGCTTTGAGATTTCTAAGGAACAAAGTTTTTTGTAATGACATCTAAACAAAAACTAAAACCCAAAAAACAAACGAAATTGAAAATCCAAGATGAGGAGATATAATATTCGGATTTTTTGGGATGTTTTGAATTTGAATTAATATTTCCGGATGATATACATAGTTTTTGTTATATTTTTTTTTAGAAAAACGAATGATGGACTCAAAAACATAATATTCTTATGCAGGAAATTATCATACATCATATATGAGATTGTAGGATCTGATATTGAGTTTATTTATCAAGAAATCGAACCAGAAATAGATGAGTCAAGTATGATGCATCTCAACAAACATATAAGAACTGAAAGTAGATTGGTATTAAAGTATTTAAAAAAAAGGTTAGAATTATTGGTTTATGAAGATATGAAGATGAACTAACCCGATTTCTTATAATGTATCCTCTGCAGAAAACGTAATGTTGAAGAAGAAAGCACAATGAAACTCGACAATTGGAATGAAAGTTGAAGATGTATTATTGGAGTATTTGATATCTATCTATTAAAATTTGAATTCAAAATGCTGAGTTTTTGGGATTCTTTGAAATCTTTAAAAGGATTCAAAAAAAGATACGATTTGTAACCAAAAAATTGCCGCGTGAATTGATATTGTTTCCAAAAAAACATGGAAATTGAAACTAAAACATTCAATAAGTTCATACAAATTCGGGATTTTACATTATTAATAGATATTGAATTATTATTTATTCTGATTCTGATTTAATAGATAGATATCGAATAATTATGATTTATTTTTGAATTTTTTTAATTGAACCGGAATTATAGGAAATTTTAATTAGATGACACGTGGCAAAGTGGCATGGTAGAATAGGGACACGTGGCAAAAATTGGTTTTGTTTATTAGGCTGGAGGGAGTGGTGCCACCGAAACCGCACTTCCTTCACCGCCACATAAGCGTCACGTCACTTTTTACCACATAAGTGTGGTTTCTTGTCACACCAAGGGAATGGTGCCACACTATTATTTTTTTTATTATTATTTTTCAAATTTAATAAAACTTCTTTTTTAATAAAAAAAAAACATAATTTTAAAAAGATAATATTTCATTAATTAAAAATACAAATACCATACATTGCTTAACTTAAAAAAAAAACCTTAAAATTTAGAAAAGCAAATTAGAAACATAAAACCTCCAACTTATTTTATATATATATAAAAAAAAAAAAAAAAAAAAAAAAAAAAAAAAAAAAAAAAACCAAACGATTAAAAACTTGAAAAAAAAAACTAGAAGTTAGCCACAATTTGCGTAACGTTTTTTCATTTCCTCCTTCATCGCCAAAATAACTTGAAGCTCGTCCCCGGTCATATTCAACGTGTCCAACGATAGTACTCATATGTCGCTGTCCCTTTGTTTCCGAAGCTCTCTTTCAGAAGCAATTTGCAAAATCTTGTTCATTCTATATTTTATACCCTTCATGTCGGCCCCCATTTCTTTCAACTCATCTGAATCCGACGCTTTGCCTTTGCCTTTGCTTTGTCTCTTCCCATTGGTCGGGAAGGTGGTGAAACTGGAACATGTTCATGTTCGTTCAGATCAAATTGAACATGAGCATCTGATGTAGTGTGGTCGGACTCAGATGTTTTGCTGCGTTTTGAACCACTGTCGATATGTTCGTCTGATGTTTTGCTACTTTGCCGTTACTTGTTATATTTCACAAAATTCCGAACTTCAAGAAACTTGAAAGCCTTCAAGTTTTCTTTTGGATACACTTTCAGCGCTTTCCTCAAAATCACATCATCGCTTTCTCCACTTTTCCATTGACGTTTCATGTTGTTATACAAATCATTAAACAACATGATTTCCTTGTTCATCTTCCCCCATTTCGAGTACACTTGATGTTTTGAACGGTATTCTCCACGGTTCATTCCTTTATGAAACCTATGTAAAACGCGAATCCAAAAGCGGTCATACTTTTGATCTTTTCCAACCGTCGCATCTTCTGAAATATCTATCCAAGATTGTGCAAACACTAAGGTGTTGTTTGTTTTTTTAAAAAAAACCTCTTCAAACCACTTACTGCTACGCGGCGCAGCACACGCGCAACACTTTCCTTCTCGCAGCAATTTGTTTTTTGGAAGACTTCAGACTACAAAACATCTGTGCGTGTGCTGCGTGGCGCAGCACTTGACTTGCCTCTTCTAACCTCTTCAGCTTTCATTTTTTCCAAGTGTTTTTTTAGAATTTTGGTATAACTTATTTTTTTTCAACTTATTTTTTTTAAAACTTTTATTTTCTTAAATTTTGATTTACGGATTTGATACAATTTCTTTTTATAGTTTCCACAAATTTTTTTAACTTGATTTTTTTTTTTTTTTTTAAATTTTGATTTTTTTTTTAATTTTTTTACCGTTTCTATTAATAATATTTTCAGTTTCAGTTGCATCTTTTTTAACGTGTATAATTTTTTACGAACTTTGTAGACATCGTTTGCAATACTTTTTTTATTTTTTTTTTATTTTCTTTTTTTTATGTTTTTTAAAATTAGTTTTTTTCTAGAATAAAACTATTAGCTTCTTTTATATTTTTTTAAGTTTTTTTTTTAAAAAAAAGTTTTATATTTTTGTTTTTTTAGATGTTCTTTTTAGTATTCTTTCAATGTTTTAAGACTATAATTTTTAAATTTCGGTGTTGATAACTATTTTCAGTTTATAAAACTAGTTTATTTAAATTTCAGTTTACTGTAGCAGTCTGCAGATGTTAAAAAACAAACATGCTTCTTATTATAGGTTGCAGCCGTTTGTTCCACCTCTTCTGCTACAGAGGATTGCAGAGGTGGTCCACAGACTTTATGAATTTTCGCTTTGAAAAAACAAACAGCACCTAACACTTCTAGGGGTTCCCAACCTTTAGCCTGTGCCTTTTCTTTTCTTTTAGTTGTTGCTCGAGTGGGCTGAGTTTCTTCAACGAATTCAGGTTCGGAATCAGAAACGACCGAATGTGGTTGTGTTGGACTTTGTTGAACAAACTCGGGTTGAGACAAAAAATCAAATGGATTAAAATTTGTGTCGGGTTGTGGCAGTGGTTGCGTTGGTCGTTGTGGAAAATACGGAAGCATACTGTCATAGTGGTAATACGGAGGTGAAAAAATGGGTTGATCAAATGAAGGTATTGGGGTTGCGGTGTTTCTAGCGGGTGTGTTTTCTTTGGTGGGTCTTTTGGAAGAAGACATTTTTGAAAAAAAATTGAGGAAGTAGTAAAAAGATAAGAAATTATTGTGAAAATTTTATAAGTAATGATAAGTATATATAGGGTGAATTTAATACATACATATATATATATATATATATATATATATTATATATATATATATCTATATATATATATATATATATATATATAAACTGCGCGAAGGACCATTCAACGGTCAAAGAAGTAGCATCCAATCACGAGACGCGGCCATAACTCGCCACACTGCGGCCAAAACCGCAGGAAACCGCACCCAGGGGGCGGTGTGCACGGTCTAGTTGGCAAAACCGTGGTCCACTCCGCACAGCCTTAAAGGAGGTAGATTTTTGAAGAAAATGTTACAAAAAGCTTCCGCATTGAAATATATTTTTTAAATTAAATTACGAATTTTGGTTCATAATCTTTACTCAAATTGTAAGTCCAATCTAAGTTTTAAAATTGTGCCCAATGACATCCTTAAACGTGCATTTCGTTGCTGATATTGTCATGTTTATTTTTCAAAATTGCAAGATTAATCTGAATTTTAAATTCATTTTATATAAGACATGACCATATCCGGTAACTATCCGGTAGCTAAATACAAACTTAAGTACGCCGCCAAGACAATTTAAAATTTTGGTTTAAACTTGTAATTGAGCAAAACATATGAACTAAAATTTATAATTTACATTAGTTTTGAATGATAAACTTTTATAATAAATAAATTATATATATAAATTAAATTAAATTAAATTAAATAATGAAAATGAAAACCATAGGTTTAATATTGAAAAGTAGAATAAATGCGTTAAAAATCTGTAAAGATCGGCTGCTGGTATGCCGAGTAATAATTTGATTTTTGATTTTATGGAAATGAGGAGGACGTTGCTGTTGACTTGGACCTCCCTTTTGAATCATTCCCACCGCCTACTCTCTCCCACACTGCATAAATCCCTTCCTACCCTTCTTCCATATTCGCACTCAGGATCTCGATTTCAATCCGCGTCTGTAGATCTAGACTCGGGAACATGAAGAACAATCACAACAGTAATCAGAATCAAATGATCTCACTCTTCAAGCTCTTCAATGCTCCATTACATCTATCCAATCTCCTTTCTCTCATCCTATTCTTCGCCTTCGGTTTATGCGTCGGTATCATTCTCACTTTCCATCTCAAAAACGTCTCATTCAATCTCCAGTTCACACAATTTTCTCTCTCCACCACCACCAACACCAACACGGCCGTCCCGGCCGACGTTATAACCACACCACAAACAACGCCGCCGCCGCCGAAAGTTGGATTGGGAAGCTACTTGAACCCACCGGAATTGATGCACGATATGACCGATGAAGAGTTGATTTGGAGAGCATCGATGGTTCCGAAGGTCAGAGATTATCCGTTTGAGAGAATCCCGAAGGTTGCCTTCATGTTTTTGACTAGAGGTCCGGTGGTGTTGTCGCCGCTGTGGGATAAATTTTTCAAAGGGAACGAAGGTCTTTAGACCATTTATGTTCATAGCTCCGATTCGGCTGCCAATGAGACGGAGCCGGGGGGTTCTGTATTTCATGGCCGGCGAATTCCAAGCAAGGTAAAAAGTTGCTAAATTATCGAATTAGTTCTTTTGATTTCATAGTTATATCATATGCATAAAAAGTTGGAATTTTTCAAAACAGAACTTTTGCTTTAGGGTTTCTAGTTCTGCCATAGGCATCATAGCAATTCGTAAAATCTGAAATTTAGGATTGTTGGTTATTTAAAATCAATATTATCAAAGATTTTATAATGCTAGAATATTTTATTTGAATATATAGATGATTGGAAGTTACTTAATTAGGAAGATCAACAAAATCATTTGTAATCAAATTGTCTCGAATATTTGGTTTCCTTAAATTGTAAGCAATTATTTCATTTTGTTTTTGGAAATTTCATATCATGATCTTTATAAAATTATTTACAATTTTGAATTTTGAGACATACTTTTATAAGCTCGAATCAATATCGTTACATTTGAAAATAATAATTTCAGCTCCAATGAAATAATAACGGATGTAATTTAATCATTGGGATTATAAATAAATTTCTAATAATTTATTATTTAAAAAAGTTGTTTTTCTAAAAAATACAAATACAAGCATCGGCCAATAGCCATAAACTTGTATGATGTATCCAAGCTGGATGAGTGTGGTGCCGTTATACTTTTTCAAAAGTTTATTGGAATATTCTTTTTTCCATTTATAATAATTAAATGCATTTTTTCCTATAAAAATTATTAAAAGTAATTTGGAACATCGATTCATATGGGTTTGAAATGAATTTTATTCTATTATCGCACATGTGAGTTTCAATGTTTCATTATGAGAACCAATTTACAACCTTTTTCTTATAAATTATAATCTTTATAAGATATTGCAATCTTTTTTATTTTAGTCCTTAAGTTTCTTTAATTTTGTTTTATTAAATGTTCATTTATCTTTTTGAATATAGGATGTTGAATGGGGAAAAGTCAATATGATTGAAGCCGAGCTTCGACTGTTAGCAAATGCACTAATGGATTTCACAAACCAACGATTCATTCTGCTATCTGAAGCTTGTATTCCTCTGTTCAACTTCTCAACCGTGTACTCTTACCTGACAAACTCAAAGCATAACTTTGTAGAGTCCTATGATTTAGAGGGGCCTGTTGGCCGTGGGCGCTATAGCCCCAATATGGCACCCGTTGTAGATATCGAGGATTGGCGAAAAGGGTCACAATGGTTTGAAATGGACCGTGAGTTTGCTATTGAAGTGATATTTGATAAGATGTATTTTTTAGTGTTCCATGACTTTTGTGATGGACAATGTTATGCAGACGAGCATTACTTGCCAACATTTGTCACTAAGCATTTCGGTGCGAAGAATTCAAATAGGACGTTGACTTTTGTCGACTGGGCAAAGGGTGGGCCCCATCCAACTAAGTACACAAGAAATGATGTGACCGAAAAGTTTTTGGAAAAATTAAGAAATGATAAGAATTGTGAGTATAATAGAAAGAAAAACCAAATATGTCACCTCTTTCCGAGGAAGTTCACGTCACATGCTTTAGATAGGTTATTAAGAATTGAACCAAAGCTTATGCAATTCAATGACTTATAACGATTATGACATAATTTAGTTGTCATTTTTTGTTATTTTCTTGAAATTTCTTCATTCTTATATATATAATCGAAATTGAGTTTAAAAATTAGAGAGCTTTTACCTTTTCGGAATTTTTGTGACATATTTTGGTGGATTGAGTTTTTAGTTAATAGTTAATGTGTTTAAAGTAATTATAACAAAACAGCTTATATATTATGATTAAAAATTTAAGAATTTTTTTTATACATCAACCTATCCCACACACCAATCTAACCTAGTTTACTTTACCATACAAGTCTGATTTTAGCTTATAGGGTTTTTTTTAATTACATCATTGTATAATCTAGACTTTTGACTAAATTTATTGGCAGCTGCTTGAAACCTTATTTTATTTTATTTTTATTTTTTTTATTTTTTTTATTTTTTTTAATTTTTAATCAGAATTTTTTTCTTTTGTGTGTTCACAATTTACACATCTTTTTTTTAATAGCATAGCACCGATGCATTGCCTTTTTTTTAATACCCACCTTTTTAACCCATTATGTTTATTTGTAACGTCCAACCTTTATAATTATTTTTTATATAAATATTAAATATGGTCTACTTTATAATATATTTTAACTCTATACAATTTATAATGAAATTCCTAAATTATAATGTAATAAAAAATCGTAGTTTTAAACCATGTTAGATTTTATTCTTTTGACGAATATACCATTTATGCAGTAAATAAAATGTAATATTTGATCGAATTTTATCGCAATGTTTAAAATTAAAAAAAAAATAATAAGTTTGAGGATAACTAAATTTATAGTTTTGACTAAATTTTATTGGGAGCTGCCACTTTTTTCTTTTATTTATCTAGTTTTTTTTTCTTTTGTGTTCATCATTTAACTATATTTTTTTAATTATAGCTGCCATATATTTTCATAGTTTATATATATATATATATATATATATATATATATATATATATATATATATGGGACGGTTCATTTGAGATTAAAAAAAATAGAGATCTTGAGATTCAACCTCAGTCACATATTTCTCATTTGCCGCTCTAATGCTCTAGCGTACCGGCAGCAACATGGTATGCCTAATCATAAATGATTACACAGCAGAGAGATATAATCATATAAGATTATACATATTTATACGTATATGACTAATCATAAATGATTATACATATATGTCTGTTTACAGATTGAGTAATCATAAATGATTATGACAGTTGGTGGCAGAAAAGGTGGTGGTGACAGAGATGGCGGTGGTATAAGTAACAGAGGTGACAGTGGTGGGGTCGGCTGGTGTCAGAGGTGGTGGTAGGGGTGGTGGCGGTGGCGGTGGCGGTTATGGTGGTAGGGATGGTGGCGGAGGAGAAAGGAATGGGCGGCGTTGTATAATCATTTATGATTATACCAGACCTGCCGCGCCGGTACGCCGGAAGGTTATTGCGGCAGATGTGAAATACGTGGCTGAGGTTTAATCTCGAGATCTCTATTTTATTTTTAATCTCAACGGAACCTACCTATATATATATATATATATATATATATATATATATATATATATATATATATAGAGAGAGAGAGAGAGAGAGAAGTAAAAAAATATTTTTTTTTCTGAAAACAATGCAATAAAATTATTAATTAATGAAAATGATTAGTTGATAATAATAATATGGTAAAAATTACCATCATTAACCTAAAAAATAAACCTAATAATATAGGTGTAGGAATAATATTCCGGTAATGTACGAAAACAAACAAGAAAGTAGAAAAACCGAGGCATGTGTTTAACACATTGTCCTTAAAACAAATTCACCCGCTACCGGGTGTTTGTTTCCCAGGATACAACAGTTTGAAGTGGTTCTTCTAGACCACCCGAACCCTCAATAGGCCTGAATTATATCCTTAATATAGCAAGAAAAATAAGAAGATGAAGTGGGGAAGAAGAGAGTTTTCTTGCATTCTATTTGGTATTTGCAAATGGTTGTAGAGTAGTGGTATTTATACTACACATTCTATAACCTCCCATTTAAACACCTCTATTAATCACAAGATTAATGTGTGTTTAATGTGTAATTAAATTGTAATATTAATTACAATTTCAGTTACAAAAGAAAGAAATGTTTGCAAGAAAGGTCCCTGAACTTTTCTATTCTTTCTCCCAACCATTAAACTCTTTTATTTACTTCTTCCAACACTCTTACTTTAAGGATTAATTTCTCATTCATATAAATCCATTTTGGACGTGTTAAAAAAATAGGGAAACCCCATTTTTTATAAATTGGTTAACACCAATTTTCCATTAATCCCCCACATGAATGAAAATTAATCAAGCATTTTCAAGCTACCTAGATAAAATCCAACAGTTGAATCGTGCATAGAATAGGTAGGTGTTACCCTTTGAACCTTCCCTTAAGATACATATTTATTTTACTAGCTGATCAGTAGACTCGATGTCCTTGAACTGTTTTGCCGTTTGTGTAAATAATCAATATGTGTCTTACATGATTCTCCCTGACCTAGTTAGGTTCTCATTGATGTGTCCGTTATGGTCATGGACACTTGCCTGGTTCTGTAAGAGCCCTGAGGAATGCGCCCATACATTTCCCTTTGAAGCGACCCCACTTCTCTCTCACATAGGTGATTCAATCATAATCATTAAAAGCTAATTTATGATGATCTTCAATTTATCATCTACTATAATAAGCTTAACCTGCATCACTGTTTTTTTTAGGAATGGGTGGGGTAGACCCCCACAGTGATTCACAAATGTTATATGCAAGTAGGTTGTCCCATTGAATCTAGATCTTGGGATCTCCAGTCAACTAGGTTGGGTTTTCCTTCGCAATAACTTATTAATTCATGGGTTTTAGTCTCATTCCTCGTAACGAGCTCTCATTTCAAGTATTTCATTAGCAGATCTGTAATCTTATTTTGACTTTATGTAGTCCTTAATGATAATTCATCTTGAGAGTCATCGTTTGAATGGTGTTATGTTTTTAACAAATATGTTTAGACTCACCATGTACATATATAGGATATAATTGCTCATTATGGGACGTCTCCCAATACCTACATATCTCTTTTAGTTTATTGTCCAATCTTGGATAAACTTCTAAACTTAATCTCCTATATTTTCCAACAAATGTTGACAATTATCAATATGGTCCTTACTATGCCATAGTTGCCACTATCGAATAATGATATAATTATGTCAACATAATACGATAAACATATACACTACACGTATTTGTGAATTCACAATAACATTGGCCAGATGTCATTATGAAGATTCCATACATGAGTTTTCTTGCAAATATCGTATTTTTCCATGCAATTTCTTGCTTTAACCATCTACATGTAAAATTCTTTAGGCATCTTATCTCAAGGATCCTACTATGTCATAAAATAGAATAACACTTTTAAGTGCCATTTATATAGATATATTTCATCACATCCATTGATGTTGAATGACATAGTCAAACTTTTGATACCCGTTGTTCCAAAGCTTGCTTTAATCATATAATGACTTTACTACTCATACATTTTGTTGCTTTCCCTTGGATAATATAACTGCTTGGGAGTTCCATGTAGATTTATACTTCTAAATCTATATTTAGAAGTTTTAGTTCATATCAGAATGATATACTTCCAAATTTCGAGAAGTTACAACTACATATAATTATAAGAGCATACAAATGAAATTAATCAAGGCGTTCTTATGTTTGTAATCCAAACATATATTTCAAATATGTCATCATCTCTTACTTCTCATTTGGAAATCCACTAAATCGCGGTGACTTCTCAAGCTTAATAGTTCAAACGATAGAACAATATAGTTTTTACAACTTAATCAATATGATTTTCTAAGAAACGATCATATGATTCCAAATTTAGAATACTTATATTTCCATTCATAGTCTTTCAACTTCATGTTGAATATCTTAATATTCATCAAAACCTTTATCTTATTTTGATGAATTCCAACCAATATTATTGGATTTAATGGAAATAGCTTCTTGGAGTATAGAAGTATCATTTGATTCTAAATTTTCAAACAAGAAATTGGTGCATATTTCTATTGAAATCATATACCATTACGTTCTAACTGATTCTCATATTCTTTAGATCTATTTGCTTTCATTTTCCTCTTGACAATCCATTTATAGCCTAGTGGTTTACATACTAGAGGTATATCCACTAGCTCTCATGTGGGATTTGGCAAGATAGAATCCATTTCACTTTTAGTTTCCTCTTTTCATTGAGATCTGTCAAAGGAAGTGAATTCCTTTTTGAAAGTTTAAGTCTCTCTTTCAACCATATGAAGAGGAATTGTAACGAGAAATCGAATAAGATCAGAGTTAATCAAGCTAAAGATCAATTAAGAACACAAGATGTAAATATAATCTGATTTCAGCTCTTAATGAACACAGAGTACAAACTAGACAACATACTGGGAAAACTTGTTATCTAACTCTAAGTTCAGTTCCTATTTATAGGAAACTGAGAGTACAAAAAATACTAAGTCTAGGAGTTACGCTTCGAACATAAAATGCCTTAGTAAATACATTACATACGAAATATTACATAATGACACTTCGACTCTTTACAACAAGACTTCGACCCTAACAATCTCCCCCTTTGTAAACGAGTCGAACTACTCAGTTCGTGAGAATCTGAGCAGCAAAGTGCATCATCCTTCTGATCTCTGAGTACCAGGTCAAAACCTTCTTTGACTCCTTCTTATCTTCATCATTGTTCTTTGTACAACTATTCATACGAACAATGAAGTTCGTATATTGTGAAGTTGTATATCTCTCTATTTCAGCAACTTGGAATAAGAATCTTTTGGCCTTTCCCTTCGTGTCTTTACCAGCAAAGATCATTCCAAAAGGCTTCAGGCATATTTCACCATCAACATACTTCTTCAATTCTGGTTACATAGCAACAGTTACTTTTCTTCCTAGACCCGAAGCCAACTCTTCGTCTGTCAGGGCCAGACAATCATAG